GGCAGCGACGCCGCGGCGCTTCCGCCCGCGGCAGGAAGTGACGCGAGACGCCGGGATCGCGCCGCGGGGCGGGGCCGGGGCCGGGTTTGGCGGGACCGCTGTGTTCCCGGAGCGCCTTCCGCGGCCGCGCCCACCGGCAGCCTCCGCCAGCAGGTGCTGAGCAGGCCGCCTCGGGAACAGAGCCTCGTGTCTGGGTCGCCCTCGAAAACCTCCCCGGAGGGAGCAGAACCGCCCGTCTCCCGAGAGGCAGAACGCTTTCCAGCTGTCCCTCCTGTTTGCTACCAGGAGACTGCTGCTCCACAATAACCCCGCTCCCTTCTAGATGTTTTTCTCATTCAAACACGCATTAACGTACTTAAGTAACCGCTTCGCCGCCTTCACCCAACCTCCTCACTGGTATGAGCATCTGGCTAACTCAAGACTTCCCATTTAAGCTGAAAGTGCTGTTAAATTGAAAATTTAAGTAGCTAGATGCTCACCAGAGGGTAATTACCTGAGGAGGGTTCGTGCACTCCGGTATTGGCAGCTCAAGAAACATTTTCCCTACATCACGGCATGTTTCAGAGAATACTGCATATAATGTGGCACCCAAAGGCAACGATTCCCACCACACATGGTCATCACAAACTTCATCCACCTCTCCCTCTTCCAGTTTGTTTAAAAACAGAGGTGAGAAGATTAGATGAGTTTTTTAAGCTACGTGAGAATGAGAAGAAAATGTGGAGGAAATACCGAATAGCAACTAAGGTGCTGGAGGTAGAAGAAAAAATGTCAGGCAGTTTAGAAGAAGGTGATGTCAAACATGAGTATAAGCCACTATGAGTGGCCTGTTTGCTTCCACTGTAATAACAAGCTTATGCTTTGACATTCTAGTTTTCACATGGTTAGGAGGCAATAGTGTGTTGACCGAAAGCTATGCATCATTTTCTCATAACTGTCCCTTGATAGAAGTCCATTAGGAAAGTATGGGCTAGCTGGAAAAACTATGAAGTTATTAATCAGTGTTTGAATAGTGCTCTTTGACCTCAATAGTCAGCATTTACACTAGAAATCGCTTCAACTTTGCTTGAACTCAGGTTATACCTAGAGAGATGGCAAACATGTCAAACATCAACACAGCACGACTCTAAAAATACAGAAGCAAAGCAATGACTTATCTAACAGAAACTGTAAGGATTTTTAAACTAGATGATTGCTTCTAATAAAGTTGAATTTTGCTAGGATTAACACCTATGTCTGTTCAATGTGATACATAATTTTTATGGACCAGATTACAGGGTCGGTTTCTTTTATCCAAAAGAATAAATCACCATTTGTAGTATTTGGAGTGATTAGCATGGATAAAAACATTTCAACTTCTGTGGTTCCACAGAAGTGTCAGGGATTCATATGGCTTATAGAAAAAATGTGCTTTTATTTTCAAGAAGGAAAATTTTATTAATTGCACCTTTTCTGCAAGCTCTGGGTGCTATCTCATCTAATCCACAGAAGAAATATGAAAGTGAACAAGCTGCCAAGCTAAACCGAAATGCTAGATTTATTCTCTTCCTTGAGCTCCAGCTGAAAAAGGGATAAAACTGTGATCTCTTTATGTTAGTGAAACTTAACTGGCAAGAAATTTAAGAAGTTAGATATGCTACGGGAGATAAATCATAAATACTTTCATGAATGTTACTTAATGTAAACTGGGAGATTTCATTATTAAATCACATGTGCTGACTAATAGTTTTAAACTGATACTTGTAACTCAGATATTCTTCTCAAACATTTCCTTTCAGTTAGAAAAATGGTAAGGGTAATTGAGTGAAAGGCAGAAATTATTACTTGGCTTAAAAAGACCATTTGTAAAACCTGTCTTTTACTTTTAGATCATCTTTCAACAACAATAATATAGACAAGAGTGCATTTTGGTTTGGGAAAAAGTCTAATTTTCCATTGGAAATAGAGAAAAAGTTTATTAACATAGGCTGTAGCATGGTGTGGCAAAGTGCTAAAAAATTATGTCAAAGTTTTTATGACATGTAGGAATCAGATTACAGATTAAGACAACTCATTTTCTTAATCCTCTATGTTGTTTCCATGCATATGAAAGGAGCAAATTGTATCCAATAGAGGGTCTGATCAGAAGATTCACATTTAAATTACTGATCAGATTCATGTATATTTATGAACACTGAAAAAATCAACACTCTGTTTATGATATATTTCATCCTGTGTTGGTTGTTTTCTTATCTTTGATTACAGTCTGGTCTATTCTAACTACTATCTTTATGTTAAGTAGCTAGATGCTTCACACCCTAATTACCTACTGCAGTCATAATAATCTTGTTTGTTTAGAAATGTCTTTGCAGTCTAGCCTGGGCAAGGCCAGCTATTGATTCAAGATAATAATCAAAAGTTATTTGTTTATAGTCTTCATTCACCAAATTGCCTGAAATGGATTTTATGATATTTTAACGCAGTTAGGAGCTGCTGCAAATGGATTTGGAATGGTACTGGTGCTAAATCTTAAAGAATAGTATTTATGGCATAATAAACCACTGGTTTTAACTTCGCAAAAATTAGTTTAGTTGTAATCATTGAAAATGAGATCCTACTTGCCTCTGATTTGTGTCCTGTCTCTCCAGGAGCGTTGCTGTTTCACTGGCCAGGGCTTCTGCTCTCTGTGCAGGGAACATTGTGGCCCCACAAGTGAGAGACTGGGCCTCTGCATCAGCACCGCTCTCTCACCATGGCTTCCCACTCAGCTTAGACCTCTAAGGAACTGATGTTTACAGTTGCATATAACATCTTTTTAAAACAAGATACCCTTTTATTGCTTATCTAAACTACAGTATTTAGGGTCCATTATGTCAGCATGGAATAACAAAGCTTCTGTGTATGTTTGTGATGGGTCTGTTTGTCTTTTTGGCCTGGAAACGTTCAGTTTCAGGGACAGGATGGAACTGACAACGCACAATAAAGCTCCTCTCCCAGCTACCTCAGTTTTTTGCTTCAGATTTTAATTATGATCATTTTGCACATTCAGTCTCCTTTATCTGAAGTCATCAAGAGATAATGTCAGCTCATTAATTTCTGACTGAGTTTCCAAGGTAACCAGGTTCATGTGCTAATGGTTCTTGATATTTTTACTGACAACTCAAAACCTCTTAGTCCTGCATTTCAGAGAAACAATTTCCTAAATTAGAGTGGGTCACATACAAGGAGGACAATTAAAACCGTACACATTTCCTGGTTTTCCTCATTATCTGAGCCATGTTTGCTGATGTAAGAGAAGTACAGTATATCTATTTCATTCTCACTGGCTTTGTTGGAAAAAGTGAACAGATCTTCAGGCATATATATCCTTCTGCAAGTCTGATAAAGCAGCAGCAAACTTCATATGATAGAGTTGCTTTTTGTTTAATTACATTATTTTTTTGACAATTTGGAAGAAAACAGTGTAACAGCATTTTAAGAAGAGAGCTGTATTTGCAGGGGAAATGAATGACAGATCATAAACCCCCAGGAAACAGAGATAAATGGAACAAAGTAGGACAAGTTAAGATCAAACTCTTTACCAAGCTATCGCCCTACTGTTATCATTAAACCATAATGGTCCTCACACTCATAGGCCATCCTGATTTTACCATGCTGGTCCTAGTATTTTGTTACCAGGATCCTTTCATAAAATTATTTGCAATTATGTCATATTTGAAAGCCAAGGTCATGAGTCCGGACTAAATTTATTAATTGCCAGTTCGTATCCATTTCTTTTTGGCCAACACTGTCCTTTAACTTAATGAGTTCTTCTCACTCTCTAGTATTTCATCTGTGATGTATTTATAGAGATCCCTTCTCAACCTTCATTAGACAACGCAAGCCAAGAACAGTTAGTCTCCTCTTGTTAGACAGTCACCAGTGCCCTGATCATTTTAATTCCCCTTTG